CCGGTCAGATTTTTTCAAGACAAAGCATGGAAGTACATTTTTTACAACTTATCTTAAATAATTAAACCGCAAAATCTCAATGATAAAAATGTATTAATAAAAAATACTAAATATATTAGAACAACCTGCAATAATTATGATATAACATAAAACACACACACCATGAAAAAATTGTTTTTAGTTAATGGAAAAAATTTCAGGAATCTGACATAAATTAAGGAAATATTTGCGTTAAATGTGATTTTAAAACCGTTCTGATCATATGTACTAATTTGACAACAGACACATAGCACCGTACATCAATGAAAAAATGGTGGATATGCATTTTATCTATGGACTTGCCAATGGTAATGGACTTGAAGCTTATCCGAATCGTCCAGGTTCTTCTACTAATTCATCAGCTTTGGAACATTTAGGAAACGCTATCGACTCTGGAAGAGTTAGATTTGAACAAAATACTCTTAAGGAGGAAGACCATATTTTGGAGAAAGTTAGAGATGACAAATTGCAACTCATTTAGTTATTAGCTCATCTTCTTGTTCGGATAATCCTTAGAAAATAGCTATTATATTCTTACCATATCAACTCTAGAAAATTGAGATCCTCTATGCTTAAGGTAGAAGACAAAATTTTGCTGAAGTGAGAGAAAACCCCGGAACTAGCATTAGGTGGATTATGTTCTTGTTGGATAACCCTTAAGGAACAGTTACTGTATCTCTACCATATCCCTTACAACTCTGGAAGACCCCGATCTGAACACTCGAGGTAGAAGAGCAAATTGTGAAGGAAATAAAAGAAAACCCTGGTTAGGTGGCGACTCATCTATTTGTTAACTATTTGATAACCCTTAAGAAACAGCTGCTGTATCTCTACCACATCCAGATCAACTTTGGAAGACCCAGATCTTTAGAACTCGATACATGAGGTAGAAGAATATTAACACCCTGTAACTTGGAAACAACATATGATCTTTTTTTACTGTAAATACAAAATCTATCCTGCAAATTTCAAATATTTTTAATACGCATTTTTTAAGGAAAAACTTTGAGGTATAGTCTCTTCCTCCTATACAAAACAAATGCTAAATCAATAATCTCTCGCAAATAAAATCTTATTTGTTTACGTCATTCAGCATTGTATAATGCATTGGAGACATTCCCGTATAAATCCCAACGAAAACATCGCAATGCTACATCCTGAAGGACAAGATAATAGCGAAGCATCCCCAGAATCCGCGCGAATCGCGAGAGACGTCCCAATCCCGATCCCGAGGAGAGAAAGGACCGCCCCTGCGGCCGACTGACGCAGCAGGCAAAGTCTGCACCGCTGGACCCCCTCCCCCCAGGACATCGATTACCCCCGCGGGATGCTACGCGACCTTGGCGGGAGAGCGGGCGTGTCCTAGCACCGCGCCAACCAATCGACGGGCCGATCCTGTTGCCAAAACGAGCGAACAGGGACAGACGCATTGCACCGGATTTCTAGGTTAGAATCACCGGAAGATCTCAGTTCCAAACCTGCTATTAACAATTGAGATTCGCACTGGTCCACTACCGATCTATTCTTAAACTGTGATAGCAAACCTTCGGCCCATGAGGTGATAGAGTCCTAGTCGACGGAGATGCTGTCCACTCGCATCGAAAATGAGTGACAGCAACAAAAGCCCAGGATCTGTAAGTTTTATACACCATTTAAGGCGTAGTTAGCAAACATTATCCGCTCGCTTTATTCTGCTTGTCCTTGATTGCATTTCAAGGATAATATGTTGGTACATTACTGCTATGCGATTAGTTTTTTCCCATCGGTATATCCTCAATGGGTGCGATGTTAGTATTGTTACACCTTGCTAGAAACTATAAAATAATGATTTTGTAATACATCTAGCTCTTAGTGATAACATTTATTCATACAATTTCATCATTTGTTTGTATTCCATTGTCTTCTATGTCTCTAGAAATGGACGCTAAATTCGTTGTAGTCGCTTTTACCCTTGGACTATAAATCCAAGAGATATATTCCATCTTCTCCAATAACTCTTCTTTAAAATCCCGGGCTGTCTCCTTCAGGATTTATTAACGTGAAGATTTAGATATGTATGTATGTAGATATATATATGTAACAACTGAGCACTTGATGCTTTCAAGTAGCAAATATTGATTTTGTCACTCTTTCAAAACTTGTAAAGATGCCATATAGTATACTTGGTGCGTATTATGGATACTAGCTTCGAATTTAGTGACACAACTACGAGTATATAAAGTCAGACTTTGTATCACCACTTGCACAGCTAGCATCCTTATGGTAAATTATTTATATGATTGTTACACTTTGTGTTGGGAAATAGAATTTTGAAGTGCGTGATAATTCACTTCTATAATAATGAAAAAGATCCTAAGAACTTATTCTTCTTCCTACTAAGAGAAACATTACAGAAAGTTCTAAGGTCTTCATCTTCGTCTAGTTCATCACTGCTTCCTTAGTTAGTTGTTACGGATGAAGCAAATTATTCTTTCTATACGATAGTTTATAATCGAGATTCGAAAGGAAGAAGAGAAACAATAGGTACATTTTTTTACCAAGTACCTAGTTGTAAGTCAATTCTAGTGTGGAAATAAAATGAGGAAAAAAATATCTCTTTGTAGTAACGTTTTTGATTATGATTTTTTTATGATTAGAATAATTTAGTACAAGGTTTCCTCTCTCTCTCTCTCTCTCTCTATTTTTTAACGCTGCTACATTCTGTTTCGTTTCGTGCTGACGCCATCTGACGTCACTAGCAATCTCATGGCAATGCAGGACAATAGCGTTCCGTGTAGGTAGACATCAGGCAAAAATGTAAATTACAAGTTGCACTATAGCGGACGTACACCGACATAATACAATAAATTTACTGGAGCTGAAATTGGGTGGAAGCGAATACGTTATTAGTGGATCTATTTTTAGTATGATGACCTCTGACAGGAAAATATGAGGTAAAATAGAATATTTTAGCTCGAATCTTTTAATGTTTGAATTGTGATGTAATAAAGCGTCCTTAAAGAAAAATCCAGCGGTCTTAGATCAGGCGATCCAGCTGGTTGCAGAAATTTTATATTTTTAAATAATAAAACGACATCTGCTCATTTTTTTGTTGGTAAATGTATAAATATTCGTTAACAAATTGTTCAAATATGTAATAAGCATTGGTACCTTGCCAACGTTATAAATATAGCTAGTTTCGTTTGTTTTTGCATCCTTAGAACTTGCAAGGATTGCACATTTACTACAACTATTTTTATGAATGATGTGGCACTAAACTTCTCGTAAGTTACGAAAATAAAGAATGTAAATATAAAATATGGCAACGGGTTGCAGACTTCAAAGTCTCGATTATCCGCTCGAGAGCTTCTGAAGTAGTCAAAAGCCACTTCAGACATTTCGAATGCTTAGAAATGATACCAGACAACACAATTGGTACAGTGAATGAAAGCATACGGCGAAGTTCTTATCTCAGAAAGCTCTAAAAAATAAAAAGCTACTTCAGTGGAAAAGAAATATTTTTATTAAAATATTCAGAAATATATAAACAATGATTGCTAATTTTTCGTCACCATCTCGTAATGAAATATCAATGCTTTTATTATTTTTTTTACATTAAATATCAATAAATATTACTTATAAAAACGTACAAAATCTTATTAAATTAAATCAATGTTTTTCGATACCAGGAATCTAGACACACAGATCTATATCTATGGGCTATATACAACAATATAATGTTTTTTTAATGTTCGGCACTTTGTCTGCATTGATATTAAAAAATATGGTGACCTTAAAATAACACGCCGCTAAGCGAGCGTGTTCCACTAAAGCAGTGTGTTCCACTAAATTAATTTCCATTGTCTCATTTTAACAGTTGTTTTAGAAAAGTAACAACTGACAACGGTGGTAGTGCACTGATACAACTTACCATCCTAATTTCCCCCAGCGGCGGCGTAAACAAGAATTACAGTACAGTTTAAAAAACTAAATACAACTGACCATCACTTAATGTTACCCTCTGTATACAACACAGATCGGACTCGATTCAAGCAAAAACTCTCTTTACTAAATTATCTTTCACAAACAGAAAAGTTAGTTGAAATTTTTCCTGAAAGGAACGAATCAAAAGATTGAGATGCGGCTTTCCCCAATCGACTTTCCTCGAAAAATGAGCCGATACATTTACCAATTATTTTGGGAAATACAAGAACACCTCACAAATATTGAATTTGGTTCATCCTATACAATATTGACCATTTTGGTGCTGCATTGGTATCGCCATGACATTAATGAGGAGCTTTTACAAAATTTGAGACTATTCTATAATAGTTTCGAAAAATTATGTGGTGTTGCCAAATCCATTATAAATATTAAAATATTGACGTTGTTTTTGAAATTTTATCTTACTTAAATTATATCATTGAAAAGCCAAAAAAATGCTCTATTTGCTCAGCTTAAAATTCAATATGGAGATAAAAAAAAATAAAGTTGATGATGGTTTCTGGCAACCGAAATGTCGTAATAAATATACAGTGAAATTCCTCGAATTAACTAAACAAAATGCGTTTTCAGATTTTAAAAATTCCTTTAAATAAAAAAGTTGGACGATTTTTCGAAAACGACACAGTTACTTTTTTCAAAATAATTAAAAAACCTGAAGAGCGCCATTAAGTTAGCAACAGAACTGTCTAAAACTTTCTCCATATATCCACCTGTACAGGGTTAATCACTATAATTTGACACTATAGTGACTAACCCTGTACAGTGTGCGTAAATGCAATATTTACGCACGATAGCAGGCAATTACTATTTTTATTTGAATCAACCGAAGCTCTAAAATCCGCAGATCACCGCACGTTCACTTATAAAAATAAAAATAGCGCGATTTTCAGTTCGTGCTTTTCTTGTTCCACTCCCCAATCCATCGCCGTCGTACGAATTCTCCTGAAAGATCCCATCGGCGTTTTTCAGTCCGCTAATTGAACCCATCTCCGACTGCGGCCGGCGTTATGTCAGAGATTACATCCCGCGACCAGTATAGAAATAGCCTATTCGAAACAGCGCTAAAAATATACCGAGAATTCGCCAGTTTTCCTTCATATTGCGCCAGGAACGGCCAAACATTATCTCGGTCGGTGAAAAAACTGACACTGGAAATTGTCGAGGAACGTACCGATCGCGACAGTGTTTCACCGTGACAGTGCCGTATTTTTTTATACCAAAAACGTCGGTTTCGCGCGTCCCGTTCTTGTACGTCTTAGGAAAAGGTTGATTTCGTAACCAGATTAAACAGAAAATAAGTTGATCGAAACTCGCTGCCACATATTTTTCGCGTATAAACACAGGTCTTATTTATACGAGAGTGTAGAGGACGGCGGTTGAATTTTTTTTGTGTTTGTAATTCGGAATACTATAGCTCGCTGGTACAGCTGTGGACAAAAAAATCTTTCCAATCTGAATTAGTGAAATGTGGATATTTCAGCTATTGGAAAAGGGCTTCTGAAGATGGTGCATTTTAAACACACTTCAATAGGGACGAATGTTATCAGAAGAGTGTTACCAGTTTTTATTTTCGTTCAAAAAGTAAAGTGTAACAGATACAGACCATACACTAGCCACAAAAATTAAAGGGAGAAAACAAGATTCTAAAAATGTAGAAAAATAGAAAAAAAAACAAAATTCAAAATTTTTAGGCGATTTTTAAAAGGCTGCAACTTCGCGAAAATAAAAAAAAAATTCAAGAAAGGTCCACGGGCTTCAATATTTTATTTTGACAATCCCACTTGTCACCTCTTTTAGTCTAATTCATCCTCTTTAATTCGAGCTGTTCAAGAGCTGTGCACGAAGATTTTTCGCTGAGTTATTGTCGTTCAAAGCAAAATATTGCTTTGAACGACGACCATTTTGGCTTTGATAATAATTAATTATTCGGGAATTAATAACACAGCCACACAAAAAATAAAAGTAGTCTGTACTTTTCATGCGACATATGTTATCTGTAGCATTTTTGCCTCCTGATCACTAATCCGGTGTCAGAATTGAGCTATCACATCACAGGAATTTCCTAACCTCAAAAAGCAGGTAATAAATAGTAAAAATTCATGAAAAAGTGCTAGGAAAAATACAAATGTTTTTTTTTCTATATTCAAATGTTCATTTATATAGTTAAGACCCCGCCCAACGTGAATCCGCGATGAGCATTAATGGTTCTTCTTCTACCTCAAAAAAACGGGTCAATTAAAGTCAGATATCACGAATTTTTGGTATATGTGGGTTTTCTGGGTCGCTGACTACGGATCCGAGGTCAATTTTGCAAAATTCAATATGGCGGATCCAAAATGGCTACCAAATTTTCAATTAATTACAGAATCGCAGCAAATTTGGTATACGGGGGTGTTCGGGGTCGCTGATTTCGTATTCGAGGTCAGAATTGCGAAACTCACTTTATAATATTTTATTTTATAGCCTGAGTACCCAATCAATTTTGTAAATCTGATCTCAAATTCGTGATCAGCGACCCCGAAAACCCCCTTATACCAAATTTGATGCGAATCTGTTATTTTTTGAAAATTTGGCCGGCCATCTTGGATCCGCCATCTTGAATTCTGCAAAATTGACCTCGGATCCCTGATCAGCGACCCCGAAAACCCCCGTATACCGAATTTGAATATAGAAAAAAAATTTTTTTTAGTTTTCCTAGCACTTTTTCGTGAATTTTTGGTATTTTTTACCTGTTTTTTGAGGTTAGGAAATTCCTGTGGTGTGATAGCTCAATTCTGACACCGGATTCGTGATCAGGGCAAAAATACTACTGATAACATATGTCGCATGAAAAGTACAGACTACTTTTTTTGTGTGTGGCTCGTACAATCGTACAAAAAATCTACGCAGGGTTTTGAAAACTTCAAAGTATCTTCTTTAAGACGTTCTTACCGTTTTTTTTGATAAATAAAAATTTTCGGCGCAAGAAACTTGATTCAAAGAGGTAAAAAATTGAGTATTTAAGGATTTTTGCTAAACTTGAGATAACTTTACAAATGATGAATAGACTGAGAATATTTTTGGTTTTTTCTTAACCTCAAAGTATCCCAAAGAAACCCTCAATTTTTGTCATTGTGATCCGAAGAATTGAAATTGTCGTTTTCGCTAAAAATCTATTAAAGGATAAATTTTGCATTTTCTATTCATTTTTTTAAAATGAAAATGGGTGTTTTAGCAAAAATTCATGGTTTTTTTATCAAAAAATGTTAAATATCCAAAAAAAAATAAAAAAAATTTAAATAAAATTTCATAATGAAAGAAAAATCATACTAGAATATGATTTTTCTATTTTTATGAATTTGAATCTTTCACTCCTGTTTCCAACACCCTATATTACAACAAACTACCTTTATTTTCATTGCACTTTATGATTCTAAAGTTCTATAAAAAAAAACTGATAAACAAATATAATCTTATACTAAAGTAATTAATTTACGTCAGTGACCCAATAGGTTAATACCTATAATTCCTTGCTGTGATGGCAAACAATTTCGATTACTTCAATATTTATAAATACAGCAAAAAAAAACAAAAATTCTTAAAATATTTGGGATAATTACACTGAACAGTAAGCGGTGGAAACATTTTTTCGTCCGCAGCCGTACGATATTTCAAAGAGGTAAAATGTAAACGATGCCTGAAAAATTATAGACAATCGAAACCAGAAAAACAAATGAATGTTGATCTAAGAATACGATCAAAACATTTCTGCATTGAACAACGTCAAACGTTTCACATAGATAATATGGAAATATGTTAAAGAATTAGATGAGATACAATCGTTTATTCAGTTTTTGGTATGGCGAAACAGAATTTGACTTACTAATTGTTGTTTTATTTATATTACGTTACATGTAAACATATATGATAACATTTTTAACGATTAAATATATTCTGTACGAATTGTTTGTAGTTGTTTTAAGTACATCAAAATTCATATTTTTTTTGGAATTATTTCTATCTTTTGCAACAAAATTATATTTATTTATATATGTAAGAATGTCAAGGTAATATTTAGATGACACAGTGACCTTATAACCTCTATATAAACTGAGATAGTAAAATCGGTACAAAATTTATTACAGTAAAATTTTATTGCTACTAAGTTATCCTTAGTAGCAATAAAACAGAATAAAAAAGTAACGGAGAGATTTATTTTCGGTTTTTCACCTGATTTTGGAATATCATTGTTTATTTAAAGCTTAAATGTCTAAATCCTGTATTTCATTTATTCAATTTTCCGTCCAATAAATTGTCGCTAACTGCCATATTTGTGGTACTATTTAAAAATATTTCATTCATGGTAAAAGCTGTTTTTTAAAATAAAAAAAGAGATTTATTTCATTCATGCCGATCTTTGAATATTGAACAATATGTTAGAATTCGTAAGGACTTCACAATGCACTATTTAAATATAAATCTGCTAAACAAAAGTGTCAAAATTGTAAAAGGTAACCAATATTTTTAAATGTAATTGGCATTTGGTATAGTCTTTCCGATGTCAATTGAAGAACCAAGAGGTTGGCTGACGCAGCAACTCGGCATTGAAATATTTAAAAAACTTGTTCCCATATTTATTTAGCCACACCTACCCATATACAGGTCTGGTTGAACTAAACATGGAAGTGGTAAAAATGTATACACCCAGTTGAAGAATGGTCGCGCGGGCAAACGGCGTATAACACAGCCGCACTGGGCGACTGGGCAATAAATCTCAGTTGTTGACAAGTGGTTGACAAATTGCCTAGCAGTGCAGTGCAGCAATGCGGAATTTGGTGTGATTCAGGAAATTTTAATTTATTATAGGCACTTTCTATTAATCATTCATATTACAATTGCGAAAGGGAGAAATAAGAGGGACATTTTGTTTACTAATATTATTGCAACATGGCATTTTGGAGACCTTTTGAAACGGAACAAAACGAAATTTGCCATCAATATAATAAAATTGTTTGAGGACATAAGTAATTAAAATATATTGTTGGTCAAATGAACATATAATAGAAATTTTGTACACATTATATACAAATTATTATAATTTTTGACCTTTAGCAGAAAACTTCTTTAGGGACGTCTATGAAACTCATTAAATTTTATTGCTAAGCGTTTTTATACATGTTCAACTGACTTCGGAAAAACTATACCACTGAATTAAAATTAGAAGTTACTAGTATTGCAAGCAACAAAGTAAAATTGCAAATTTCTTGATTGGGGGGAAATTTGGTACATGTAAAACAGGTATAAAAAAATAAAAAATGCAGATATTTTAATTTTTCTTTGTCATTTGTTTTCCACGAAAAGAGAAATGATTGTTTTAAGGCCTGATAATATATACAAAATAAAAAAAATGCATTCTAGTCCACTTGTAGATTAAAGGCATAAAAATATTTCGAGATAAATGAAACATAAGTGCGTTTAATTCAGGCTTGGCTAAATACACGAAGAACATGACTTGATTTTCCAGAAAATACAGTTCATGTGTATATTTCGAGAGTAAATCTACTAAATTACTTTTACTTTTTTCATTATTTTTTTCTGAAAAACGTGATCATTTACTATATTTGATGACAAAGCTTTGGCGATATATCCTTTAATAAGTTTGTTTTTAATAATTTACCCGAGAAATCTTTTTGAAACGTTGCCAAAACGTCAAGACATGTTTTTAATTCAAATTAACAATAAACTGAATTACAATACATTATAAGGAACTATTTTTATTATTATTTTTGACTCGTCCATTATTAATTTTGGTAATCCCCCAGTTAGGGCGATAGAAGTGGCAATTTTCCTAAAAAAATAATAACAATTAAACCTAACACGGTGGTTAATTCTGATGACACGCCGTCCTCGTGCAATTAATTCCGCCCAGCGGGGCACATTTCATATTTAAATGAGATATTTCCTCGACAGAACGCGATGTCGCGATGGAAATCGTGCGTTAGAGCGACGCGAAGCCTCTGTTTATTTTTAGTATAAAAATAATCGTTCGGAATACCAGAGCTTCATGCGTACACAACAGCGCAACCGGCTGCTACCCATAACGGAATTCAAATCACTAATAATTGCCATGGTTTCGATTATATTTACCCCGAAATTATATACGATATTGTACATTGTTACATTTATCTGTAGTCCAGGCGATAGAGCAGTAAAAGTAGGCTTTGGCGTTTGTGTTTGAATGTAGAATAAGAATCCTAGTTTGCCTATTCCAAAAAACCTTTGCTAAATTCAGGGGAACAACAAACATACAAAAACAAAAAATGATGCCTTTTTTTATTTAGGGCTTACTTTCAATGTTGCAGGGAAAAATATGTCGAAAAACGCGTCATTTTTCGTTCTTTTTCGAATGCTCTACCGCCTGGACTATTGTTAAATCATACGTTGGTAGCACTGGCTAGTTAGTTCAACGAGATAGCACTAAAATTTTTAAAAATAGTTACACTATAAATTATTCTTATAAAAACTGTAAATAAATGTAACAATAAACTTAATGACAGCTCTGTGGACTGACAGATGACAGCTTTGTTCCCGCCAAATTCACAAAATTCATTTATTTCTTTTTCATAGCTCCCTAAGACTGAAGATTTTTCGGTGCAAATTTATCGATCAACTTATTTTCAATTCCAATTGTGTCTATTCTTCACAGTAAAATTTTTTTTTTTCGTAGAGAATTTATTTTTATATTCGTCGTTTAGTATATATGTATATATTTAAGTAGTGGACTTTTGTGTTATTTAAGATAGATATAGTAAGATATAATGTCACAACTGATGAAAAAGAGGTTTCCTTCCATCACCAGCATCGATGTTGAGGTAAGTTCATCTCCAAAAAGATATACAGGGTCGGAAAGTCCCCATGGTTCATAGGCCGTTACGTGAGAGCGATAAAGTAAGTCATAGAAATCCGTGTGATAGAGAAGGATGGCTATAATGAAGGCGTCTCATAGTCACCGCCCGTTTCGCCCTTCCACAAATAAGATCCACTTCCACTTGTAATTCAGCCACCGGTGGTCATATTTGTTTTCGTCGTTTGGCTTTTCTTTAATAGATGTCACTATTTATACAATTTCGACTTCGGTATTCCGATATGTTAATACCATCCGTTAACAGAGGGCAGCACAACGCGTAACAAAGAAAACTTTTTACAGTAGCTAGTAGATACCTCTGTTTGTAAATCTAGTGACCTTGTTTCCCCTACTGAGAAGTTATTCAAATGGAGTATAGTGCTCATCTGCATTTAAAGTTCATTTAGTTGTTATTTAAGTATACTTTTTAAAATGACTTAATAATCCCAAGAAATAAAGCAAAATTCCCTATTTCCCCAATTCCAAAAAAATCTGTAGATCTGGCATCAGTTTTTCTAGGGCTGCCCTCTGTTTACGGATTGTATTACATATCGGAATACGAAGTCGGAGTTGTATAAGTAGTGACATCTATTACAGAAAAGGCAGACGACGAAAACAAAGATGACCACCGGTCGCTGAATTACAAGTGGAAGTGGATCTTATTTGTGGAAGGGCGGTGACTATGAGACGCCTTCATTATAGCCATCCTTCTCTATCGNACGAAGTCGGAGTTGTATAAGTAGTGACATCTATTACAGAAAAGGCAGACGACGAAAACAAAGATGACCACCGGTCGCTGAATTACAAGTGGAAGTGGATCTTATTTGTGGAGGGGCGAAACGGGTGGTGACTATGAGACGCCTTCATTATAGCCATCCTTCTCTATCGCATGGATTTATTTCTACGACTTACTTTATCGCTCTAATGTAACGGCCGATGAACCATGGGGACTTTCCGACCCTGTATATTCGTTTTAATTAATAAAGCGCTCCTTTTTCCACACTAACTCGTTTCAGATAAACTTTGTTATTTTCGTATTTCTCCTAAATACCTAGCTAGTGGGTTTTATAATTAATTTTACGAATTTCCTTACATTCGACTTACGTGTTTACATGAAGTTAGTCTAAAATATGTGTTAACGATGTAAAAATAAACGAAATCCGGCCTTTCTACACGGTAGTCTAAATTAGATTATACAGTGCGTTCCTTGACCTCAGTGTCTCAGGTATTTATTTTTTCATTAACGTTTTCTGTTCGCAATATTCCAGTCGGTGAAAAAGCTTCAGAATTTGCGTTTAATTACATAATAATTATATAACATTTTTTAATTCAAGTTTCTTGTTGAAGATTCGATAATTAATTTATTACTATTTTGATATTTAAATTATCATAAGGTTTTGTGAAAATTAAAACATCTTTTGAGATAAACTGCTAGTTTAATCTGAAACATGAAACTCTCTCTTTATAATATTTTTGACACATATTCTGAATCAACGGAGACAGACAAAAAGTTACTCTTCTAACCTTGATCCTATTTTTCTTAATGTCATATGAATCAGTCCACCACTTAACAACAAAACAATAAGCAATGACAATAGTAGTACCTACCAGTAGCAGCATTATTGATGGCTGTGTTCTATAAATAAGCTTTTTCTTATTAAAAATACTCATGCCCCAACCAGTCACGATGTACTGGTAACGGTTATAAAAAAGCGACTTTTATTAGAGATGACCGCGCTGTTTTCGGCTGTGATCTTGGAAAAACGCCAAATAAACAGTACGGTATACAAAGCCTGCGTGTTTTTTCTACATGAATTATAACCCGGTGACCCAGTTACGCCTATTTATTCGCCACTTTTGTTTCAAGTGGTGGTCGAGAGGATACATTGATTTTCTTCGGTCTGCATCATACTAATTTGAAAACTGCACCCATAACCAATAATTCCTGATTGAAAAAATAATTATTAGCAGACTCATATTAAGGTTTTTTTCTTTTGTTGGCTTGTTCTAATTAAAATAAAACTCTAGGGAGTATTGTAAGTAGGCTTAGTGCACGTGCAGAGTTTAACAGAGCTGGCGCGGGGGTCGGTGGCCTTCACAGCTGACTCGCGTTTTCAAATGTTGTTCACGGAACCCTGTGTTGGTGTTGCGTCGATACCTTTCTTTTTTACGTCTGCTGTAAATTGTATTCGTAGTGTGAACTATTTATAAATAGTAACAACATTTACATTAACAACTATTAGTTGGGGGGAAAAGTGAGGTAAAATGCCAGAAGAGAAAAGAAATAGAAGGAAATTATTTCAAATGTGGTTTGAGTGATTCCAAAGGTTACAGGGACATACGTGTTAAAGGAAATGACCTGTTTTGTACTGCGTGTAAATTCTTGTTACAAAACTAAAGTGACAGGACATTTGAAGAGCCATGCCTCGTCCTGCGCTGAAGACTATGTATTTTTCTATGAACATACAGACGCCTTTCTTTCAAACAATATTCCATTAAACAAACTAGAGAACCCCAAGTTCCGTAATTCCGTAAATTGAAGTCACATGGACTATCCCTAAATGAACAATTTGATATAATTGATGATGTACAAAAAAATATATACGATGCTATTAACGCCCATCAGTAGTACGATAAAAGAAAAAATGTAGTGTTGGAAAAAAATCCAGGATACACCATTTTGGAAAACATGTAAAGTTTTATCTGGTACATGTCAGGAGCTACCAGGATATATATAGTTCATGCCTCAACAATTTCTCATACTGTCCGTTGTCAACAGTAGACGTTGAATGGTCATTTTCCCTGCACAAGTTAATATTAAGTGATAAACGGCGCTGTTTCACTAAAGAAAACTTAGAAAAGCACGTAGTAATATATTTTAACTCCTTCCAATATGCTACGAAAACCTTGTCTTAACACTAAGGTTTATCGGGTAGGTGGTGCTTTGCTCTTTGGTAATAGTACTATGTTGCGACATATTTTCTGTGAACATTAAGACTTTCATTCGTAATCTGACTACGGTCCTGTTATACTCCGCGCCGCACCAAGCCTAATTATAAGTTTCTTGGAACATTGAGTTAAAATTTTTAGTTTCAACTTATCCCAGTATAAAGCTTTAACACTTAACCTTTGTCAATATGTTATTGTTGTTGTTAATTGCACCTTTATCTTTAAAAATCTCTTCATATTATGGTATTTTCGATCTCCCAGTACTATCGTACAACTACAGCAACAATTAAACACATTTTCCCTAAACTGGAACTATTTCTGAATATCTGAAACGTCCCGTAATAAAATCGAAGGCCCTTCACGAGCCCGGCCCGTAACATAAAACTAAGATCCGTTACGAAGTCGCCCCGTAATCCTCGCCGTCCTATTATGTCGGTCAGCTGAGCGCCGCTGTGTCTCACCGCCCCAACGCGCCATATTGATCGACGCGGCGCCAAAGGAACCGACTTGCGGGGTAATTTCGACTGTAGAGCTATCCGACCTGTTAATTTCTTTTGATTTTCGCTTTCGCCGGAGAAATGGCTTCCCGAATTCCCCACGTGTGATCGGAGATCGGGATCTCATAAAGCGTCGGCTACAGCGAGCTTTTTGGAGATTGGGGGCTAGTAATGGAGATGATTGGGTATTTATGTCTCGTTGATTTGAGATAATGGTAATAAATCTTTGTTTTACGGTCGTTTTCTTCTGTGGAAATTACTTGGTGTTAACTTATCTCGAAGGAGAAGATCTAAATGTTGGCGTGAAACCGAACAAATGAGAATGGCCTCCTAACAACGGAGTGAAAATATTGGGCAATATATTTGCAAACAATTTTTCACCTTGCTTTCGAAATTTTCAAAAGACGCAAAGAAATAAAATACTATAAAGTAAGTAATTGGAAATGTAACCTGAGGAGTTATTTCTTTAATTATCTATCTACCGTTATGACCAGTATCATAACGAGTCTGGAGTTCAAAAGAGTTTATTATTTAATTCTCGAAAGGGAGTTTATAATTATCATTACACTTTAATTAATACGTGGGAACTTAGAAATGTTGCGCGATCCATAGCAAAATTTAGAATGACTATACATTATTAAATTAACCCGAGACTCTAAAACTAAGTAGACTGCTCAATGTGGAACCCAAGGAAAAACTGACTTTTTTCGGAGATCTCCTGAATTCGACACCTCGCTTCGTCACGCCCATTTCTGGGGTCCAAAAGTTTCTGTTTTTATCTTACTGGCGGGAACCCCGAATATCGGGACGTTTTGGCATAACTATGCCATGTTAATAGTTCTCTAATTGACTGATTTTACATTTATCTAAACAATTTTGAGACTAAATTCTCAAATAACCCTAGCCTTTCTCTAGTGATTCCGTGTACCAATACGGGGCGAATTAGTGAATCTCATTTAAAAAATCCGCCTAAAAACCAGCTATTTGATCCATTACTTTCTTTTCCAATTATTGTCAACTTACCAATTTGATTTAATTCTAATTTGGAACCTCTACGCTCTTCTCGTGGTTTCGCGCGTTATTAAAAATATGGGTTTCTTTGTTCTGTCCCAGCATAGGGTGGCGCCTCCCGGACACAACAGATGCCTGTCACATAGTGATACGTTTTCAAGAAGTTACTTAACCCGAAGTGTTTTGGGGTTGTTCTAATTATCGGTTTGCAAATTTATTAGTTTCCGCGACAAAAGCTCTTCAGACCACCCTCTAAATACAAATATGACACCTCGTCTGCCCGTGGTTGTTCTTAGAAGGCCTAATAGAACTATTGTGCTTCAGTCTTTCCGAAAATCGCCCCATAAATTACACGGATCTGGCTTTTGTTACAGAAACAATTGTAATTATTGTTTACTCTAGTTCCTTTTAAAGTAATGTTTAATTCAAGATCATTCAAGGCAAAAATACTTTTTTGTGAAATTCTAAACGTTTAGTGGTTTTGTGGTAAAGTTATGCCTTCCGAAAACAC